TTAATGAGGAAAACAGTAATTCTGTGTCCTTTAAGGGTGTCCATTTCCAAAGTTTGACACCTTCCTGAGCACCCGGGGATTGCCAAGAAGGTGGCAGCCGTAAGAGACGGCGGGAATCACTCTCCCTCATCCCCAGCTACTCTACTACTGAGGAGTAGCTGCCCCTGTCTCTGGTGGCCCCTTTCATCGCTAAGGTGGCAAGGGCAGCTCTGCCAACACAGCTGCAAACCGCAGCACAGATCGAATATTATAAGCCCGTATGTACAGCAGTAAGTCCCAGCTTCTGGGGATGAGTTGCTTTTATAATTTGTTCCTGGTTTCATCAGTAAGGGCTATTTTAAAATTTACTGTGATCTAACTTTACATATGTAAAGAGGCTTGACTTCATGGGTAGCTGGTTTTGAGAGTCAGTTGTATTTTGCATGAATTAAGCACACATGACAAAGTACAGAGTCAATAAACTTGTGACAAAATTATTTTGTTAAGAGCTTCTATGGTATTTTTTTTTTTTGCTGCAACTAAACGTGTTTAGGATAGTTTGTTAATTCTGAACAGTAGTGTGATCACTGGAGTTTTCAGAGTTGCCATTCATTTAAAAGAATTAATTACCCTAAAAGTCAGAAAATATGTTGGCATCTATAAAAAAACCATTTTTTAACCAGTAGTCTTTCTGTTAGATTATTTTTGAAGTTTCTCTTTAAAATGCCCACATCAACCATACCTCACTGTTTTGACATTGTCTTGTATCTAGCTCTCTTCTTTTGAGAGGAAAATAAAAAAATGAACTGACATCTATTTTTTTTGTCAATACGTTTCCTTCACAACTCTGGTGGATTCTGAACATTTCCCTGTCTCTCAGGCTGTATGAAGATGTGAATATTTGCAAAATAAACTGTTGGATGACTGTTTTGCCAAAGCAATGGCTTCTCAAGAATTTATTGTAAGTGATTTTTAATACTGTGTACAATTAAGTAGAAATAAATTAAAAGACACTGTGGCTGCTGTATTATTTAAACATTTTTCTTACTTATTGTTATTTCAACATTTTACACATTTAAAACAGGTATTGTACACTCACCAAAAAATGAAAAAATCAAAAACATGGCAAGATGGAATTCTGAGGATTAGAACTGGTGGAAATAAGGTGAACAACTCAGATTTAATACCATTGGATTTAATACCTGCTGCTGCTGGACTGTCAGTAGCAATCTAGTTGAACTGTGAAATAAAATTAGTTATTTAAAATTGTATTTTTTCATTGCAGGCTATCTTGTTTGACGATAAAGGACAATGTTTGGAGAGTATTTTTATAAAATCTCAGGTATATTTTGTTTGGAGGGTTTTTTTACTTTTATGCTTGCGGTTTGTGTTTCAGGAAGCGTTTCAAACTCTAGTTTGGTAACTTTTTCTTACTGTGGGTATGAAAATCCGCTGCAATGGAAATAGTGGAAAGCGAAAACAGCTTCTGTTTATTGATGAGTCTTATTGTTTTTCTAGAACCACCATAAAGGTTTTATGGAATTTTATTCCTTTTAGGTAAAAGCAATGTATTATAGTGATACATTAAATAAGTATAACTTGAAGCTAAGTGCTAATGATTTGTAGTGTATGTATATTTTAATCTAAGTATTTATATGGCAGCTGTGATATACTGGGTGTAAATTTCTGACATTTTTACATATAAGTATTTGGAAGACTATTTATTTAGAAGACTCTTATTGTTTCTTATATAGCACTATTATGTACATGCTGCTGCTTTCTCTTTTCTAGGTGAATGCTGGTGATAATTTAGAAAGTGAACGATATTTGATCACAGTTGAAGCAGTAAAAGCTAATGAAAAATCTCCTGAAGATCAGCCAAGGAAAGCAGAAACTCCGGCAGTGGATAGAAATGCTGTAAAACCTGGTGTTCTGCCTCCAAGACATCTCTCTGTCGGCTTGAAAAGGAAGTTTACGGTATGTCTTTGTTTTGAAAGTTACGTCTGATGTTAACATGCATTTTAAAAAACAAAGGGCACATCTTTTCTTCCTGATTTTTTGGAACTCTAAGCCAGAATGTGTTATCGGTAGCTATTTTTTCCAGAGTTTACTAAATCTGTTTGGTTTAGCAGGATTGCTATTGCTAAGGCTTCAGTGAAAATTGCAAGGGCTTGAGATTATTTCTCTAAGCCTGTGGAATCATTATGTGCTACTTGATCTGAATATATTTTATGGAGTGTGCCCTGGTTTTGACATTTGATTGCAAAATGTGAAGTTGATTTCTGAGTAGAATTAATTTAAAATTTCTCTCCTAGGGTTTCCAAGGGCCACGCCAAGTTGAAAAGAAAATATCAACAATGGAAGATGGAGAAAACCCAACGATATTGCCTTTATCTAAGCAGTATCAGGGTAATTTTCCATCCAAGTTTTATACTACCTCTCCATTATTTTCTACAATTAGCAAGAAGGATGCAGAAACAAATCTGTCTGCAGACTTTCATGAAGATGTGTGTACAGATAACAACAGAGAACACATGTCTCTCTCCTCACTGCTTTCAGCTCCGTTTCTTGACAGATGTGAGGAGACAGAGAAGCAAAAGTCTGATCAGTCCATTGTGAAGCCAGAATCTCCTCTAATTACTGGGCACGCTAAATCTAGTAGTCAGGCAGCCGGTCACGAGGCAATGTCACACAACATCAGGAGCACAGCACAGATAATAGCTCTTTTGAAGTCTAAACCAACAGAAGGATGCAGAGAGCAAACAACATCTGAAGTCACAGAATGTCTTTCTGGGTTTCAGGCATTAGAAAACGCAGATCGTTCATATACCAAAAAAACCGCTATCCTACCTGCTTTTTCAGGCAATCCTGCCAAAAGAATAATTCAAAATATTCAGCACCTGCCTTTTATGGAGGGAACTGTAATTGATAAAAAGGAATGGAATGCTGAAATGCTTCTAAATTCAGCTAAAGAACAACCTTGTGTTGAAATCACAGGACAGAGACATGACAAAAAGGTAAATAATTTGAGTCAAGATTTACAAGATCCCTGCAATACAAATATTTGCTTCCTACCTGAATCCACCATAAGTAGCATGAGTGACAGTCAGTTTGTCCCATCCTCAGGTGATGTTTCACATTCGGCAAGTCCAATCACCTTTGGAAAAAATCTCTCCAGGTACAGGGAGCGTTCAGTGACTAACCATCTTCAGGAGAATTCATCGGTGAAGTTGCAAAGTGAGCTTCAGCTGAGGCAAAATGCAGAAAGAGTGCCTAATGACCTGGAGCTCTCTGTGGACGTAACATTGACTGAAATTGGAACTGTAAAGGAGGAATTAAGCATGCATGGCAAAGACTGTGGTCCAGATGAACAAGTGATGGAGGTTAACTTTAATCTAATGGAGGCTTTTAATTTTAATGACACAGACAATGAAGACCTGTGTGAAAGAGATGTGAATAAGCTCACTGAAGGAGACGTGCTTTCACAAAGTCCAGATTGCTTAAAGGGAGAAGATGTAGAGCACAGTGCTGCATTGAGACTTCATTCTTGCAGTGAAGTAGTGACACACAGTGAAAATAAAGAAGTCAAATATTCAACATTTGACAGAGAGAATGATGGAAATCACTGCACTGAGGGTATACCATCTTGGCTTTGTGACAACAGTGTCGGAGGTACAGGGAGAATTCCCGAAGACTCTGCAAACCAGACCAGAATTGAAGTGGAACTTTTGGGTGATGGACACGACATAAATGAGATTAATGAAAGTCAACTAAGTATTGAAGCCACAAACAAGAAGAAGGATCTTGATGGCTGTGCAGCGCATATCATTAATGGCACATCATGGATAAAAAGCAAGCCCTCTGACCTTTTGCCTGGTGACACAAATGTTAATGAATGTCACTCTAAAACCAGTATGTTTGAGAAAACTGAAAATATTTCATCTGTTTCTACCAGCAGAATAATTTCTGCAATGGACAAAAAGACCGAAGAAGATGTTGCACAGCTTGGATGCATGAAATTCCCAGATGCTGAACGCTTCTGGGGTGCTAAGAGTGATGACATTAAACCAGGTAGTTCTTTGCTGGCTTTGTCACGAAAATCAGATCCTAGCTATGGCTCATTCCAATATATTGCAGAAGACCATCAAAAGGTATTTGGCATTTCACATAAGGAAGACACTCTCATTTCCAGAAGTTCTGTCTATCCTTTAGGAAAAGACCATTCATCTCCAGAGGAAACAGCAATAGGTGAAACTGAGTTTGAAAATGTAGAGAGCATAAATGCCTTTCATGAAGCTTGCAAAGGTGAAAGAATAGAAATGGATTGCCTGAAATGCACGGCAATGGCTGAAAATTCATCAGATCTTCCTGATTTGGTAAACAATATCGCTCTTCTAAGAGCTTTGTCTCAACATAGCACAGCATTAGAAAGCTTACAAAAGATTGAGGAAAATAATAGCATATTATATGAAGCAGAGACTTCTAAAGAAATATTTGAACACCTTGTGAAAGATGAAGGTTAGGTCAGCTTCTATTTTAAAGTGAATTCTGTATGACTTTACCTATGTAACTTCTGTACTCTTATCTCTGCTGCTGGACAATTCATATTCAGAAATCATACTTTTGGAGTGATGTGTTATGAAGGTTCCCTCATGCATTTTTTAGTGTTTAAAGCCAAAATGTGGGCTCCAAGTCTGTGTCTTTGCTTGCTTTAGTTCAGTTAAATCCTAACTGTGCAATTATTTGCATGGGTTAGGTTTGCAAGCCCAGTAAATATTCAGATGTCTTCATCTAAAAAGAATACTATAACTGTAACTTACTATGCTTTTCCATCTCTTGTAGCTATAAAATACTTTACAGAAATGCCTTACTCAGAAAGTATACAGGCATCTTCCTCTTCATACTTTGATTCTCCTGGCTTTATGGTAACCAATTTTTGACTACGTATAACGTATCTGTACAAGATGAATTCATTTTCCACCAGGTTTCTTGAATAAAATTCTTGTTTTATGAAACTATAGAGGTTGAGCTGGAAATTGCTTAAGAAAAGAAAGATCTTTAAATCTTAAAGAAAGATTTTAGTTTAAACTCTTCTCTTTTTCCTATCCCATTTGAAAAGCAAATGTACTTTCTTATCCTATCATGGATTGTTCTGGCTTCGAAAAAAAAAAGGCTGTAACTTAATATGCTTTCTCTTCTATAAATACAAGAGATTTTTTAGCTTAACTTTTCACTTTAAATGGTTATTAAATTGTTAGACTAATTAGCTTTTGATACTTTTATATGCAGCCCAGCTGTGTGGACAATTTATTACAGAAAACAGAAGCTTGTATTCTGCCAATAGCAGTGGCCCAAAGCGACCCTAGGACATCTGGCTGCCAACCAAAGGTACAATTTCTGTGGAACTGAAGTATAACGAATAGTGTTTCTTAAATTTCAATTCGGTGGTTTACTATTTGCAATATATTACAATAAATCCTAATAAATATTTAACCAGTCTCATAATGGGCTTCTCATCACTTTTTAGTATGTTTGTCTGGAAAGTTTTCCATTGAGAGTGTTAAACTCAAATTTTACAATACAAAAAGAAGACTAAACATACTACATCAGAATACTGATTTTCTTTTGACAGAGATTTGTGCAAAAACTTTATTGCTGCTGAGTTGCAGGAGTGCAAGAGAAAGAAAAAGCATAGATATTTTTTATTCTATTTTGCAGTTTCCAACAGATTATTTTTGTTGTATGTATGAAAAGTACCTTTATTGACTGTAGATAGTTCCAGGACGGTACTTATTTTCAGTTAATGATAATTCCAATATGTTACATAGCCTGTTGCGTTTCAAGGGCACGAAGTAAAGGGATCAGCAGCTAGTGAGATAATGTTGAGAGCTCCCTGCTCACAACTAGGATGGCAGCAGTACCCCGGTAATACGGAGGTTGCAGCTGAGAGATTTTTGTCACCCTCGTTTTCAACCAATTATGTCCTTTCTGACTTCAGACAGGTAAAACATTTTTTTCAAAGTTATTCTTACTAACCTTAGTGCAGGAAAATATCCTGTAAATGTAGGATAAAAAAGAGTTCATTTTTAGAATACTACAATCATACCAAAATCACTAAGAACAGAACATGGTGCTTTGTGATTAAAACTTTGCAGTGACAATTATTTTTACTTATCTTTGTCATAGGACTATGCATTTGCAAGATGTAACGTGTTTTTTTCCCTCTGTTCAGTTTCACTTTGAAAAATGTACCTGGTTGTAATGTGTGATATTAAACAGATTTCTTCTAGAGAAAAGTGGCAGAGGGCTTTTGTAATGATTGTTTCCTGGTGTTAGAAGTGTAATGTTCACCTCAAGTGGATTTGAAATTTGGTATGTAATTGTTAGAGAGTTCCAAAGCAAGGGTTAAAACTTTCTTTCTTGGATCATGATTCTGTTCCTCCTGGATGCAAAGAAAGATGGCATGCAATGTTAAATAAAGTACTTTTTTCTAATGCAGTATATAGTTCAGTAATTAAAATAATGGAAGATAATTGATATTTCATTTTTTATTTCCAGAATGCGCTGGAGATACTGAATAATAAGATGTTTAGAAATAATAAGATTCACACAAAGATAATGTTTATATAGACGATAAACAGTTTAATTTCTAACAAGTTTTTGCTTATACTTTTACTTATACTGGTAAAGTCTCCAGGTTCAAGAAGTCTTCATGAGGATGATATCGACTTTATCAGAGAAGAGAATTTTCAAAAGAAGTCTAACATTATTAAAGAGTCAAGAATGGATCAGTCCCGTAAGTGAAATGAAAGTAGAATGGCAGCAAATGGCCTCAGAACAATTACTCTGCATGACTTCTGTCCTTCCTGTGTTTTTCCTAGCATTGGCATTGAATGTGTATTCTGAAGTTCCGCTATGGACAACGTCAGGCTCACCTTCGCATTCTGATTTGAGACAAATGCAGTGGACTTCAGGGGAACCTGACATGGTGTGAACTGACTGTCTCTTCTAGATCTTTTGGGCTTTATTTCCTGTGTGTAGCAATTTCTTATTTTTGAAACTGTTTTATCTCAACTCTGAGAGACAGTTCAATTGTTTAGAATGATGAGAGAGAGAATAGTGACAAAAGAGCTATAATCAAGCTTTTTTCCAGTCATTCACTTGACTTGCTAATTATTCATCTTGTAGATGATTTCAGCAGTAGAACTGACTTCCTCGCTTGATCCAAACTCTACAATTTCTCCAGCTTCAGGAGTTGAGGAAACTATTGGAGACATCCAGGAGCCCCTGATACACAGGATCTTGCCAAGTGAACAAGAACTTTCAGATTTTTTTTTCAGTGAGAAATTATAGTTTATAATTGCACTTTACAATATTTTTGCTGGAAAATCTCTGAGGATTTTTGAAGCACAGTGAGTTGTGCTATAATAGGCGGTTACCCTGGGCGCTGAAGTACACTGAGATATGTCTGGGTAACTACAGTTTGATTTGTGTTTGTCACATGTTTTTCATAGGGGGGTGTGTTACTTTTTTTAAGCATGATTTTAAACAGGGTTTTCTAAATCAGTTGAATTAGCCTTGAATTCCATGCCTCCCCACTGCCAATTATATTGTGCTGAAAGAGGCTTCAGTAGAGTGATTTAATTTTATAAAGAAAAATCAACTTCTAGTTTGGGGGGGGGGGAGGCTGTAAGCTAAGCCTCTAATTCATATTGTTTTCATTTGTTTGTCTGCTTTTAGTTTTCTTCCATATTCAGCTGTCCTCTGACCCACTTCCAGTTGACAAATCATTTCTACCAAACATTTTATTTTATACAAGTAGAGTGCCTACAGAGATGTGTTCTGAAGATAGGGATTTAAGTGTTAAAAGGCTCACAGTAGAAATCACTTATATCGTATGGAAATTCAGTGTGGTACTGCACAGGCACGATACCAAAAACTTGCCAATTAGAAGACAGGATGTAAAAGCAAGAACTTAGAATTCTTTCGTTATCTTATTTTTTTGTACATCTGAAGTTAATGTGCCATCTGTAAGTGCTACAAGTTGCTTGTAAGATGTATTTGCCCTACAGCACAGGAGAAATCCAGCGATCCAGAGGAATGCAACCTCTCCAGGTTCAAACCCACAGTTAAAACGCGAACTCCATTTGTCACTCTTCCTGCCACTGAGAAGATTCCTGACGCAGTTTATCCAACTGACAGCAAGGAGGTCCAGCAATCTTTCGGCTCTTCAGTCGTAAATTTATGCAACAAGTCAGCGGTATTTCCTATTAGTGCTTTTTGCCCTGAGGACAGAAATTATGAAACCTCTGTGTTTGGAGATTATACGGAAGACAGACAAAGGGAATCTGTGCAACCAGTGTTCCCTAATGTGGCTTCACAATATAGACAAAGCAAGTGGCTAAAATATCAAAACAGTGCTCGGTGTGACTCGGTAACTCAAAACAGCGACGACAGGGAAGTGACTGATGACATCTGTGCTGAGAACGTCCTTGGAATGCTGCTGGGTGACACAGGAGGAAGCAGTGCTGCGAATCAAAGTGCTCCCGGCTCTGCACCGCTACTGACGGCAAAAAACATGCTTGGTAAATGCTGTGCAAATACCAGCAACCAAGATTTGATTTCAGAGAGGAAGTTACTTTCTCTGCACTTAAGTCAGACACCTTTGGCTGAAGCAACACAAAAGGTGTTAAGTCATCTGAGCTGCCACACTGTAACAGGAGACGGCCAGGTGTGTAACTGTTCAAGCAAATACAGTTATAAGTGACAGAAGCACATTTTTCTGGACAAAGTAGCTGCATTTATCTGATTTCCTGCAAGATATTATCAGTGCGATTAGATGAGATGTTTCTACATACGTAGTAACACAAAAGAGTGTCAGCTGCAGAACAGCAGCTGCTAATGTATTTTTTGAGTGCCGTGACTAATCCTCTGTAAAGGTAATTCCTTGTCGCACACAGTGCCAGATTTAGATTTTTTTTAATCTGAATGTTGATGGCAGGAAGATGAAATAAAAGATGTTGGGCTGTTATGTCATCTATAATTGGTAAGAACCTGTTTTGAAGAAGTGGTTTTCTTAATTGTGAAATCAGCATCGTTTTAATGAACACCCATATCTTGCTTCAAAGCATAGTCTCCGATTTTAAAATATTTTAAATTTCTTCAGTTTTAATTGTGGAAAAGTAAGATATGCCATTGAAAAGCACCTAAAAAATTAGCACAGCTGTTTGTGACCAGTAGAATGTCTTAAATGGAGTAAATTAGAAAAAAACCCAAACCAACCACAAGTCAAGTTTTAAAAGTTGTCAAATGGCTGTGTTTGAGACCTAATGAAAATGTTAGATTTTTCCTTTTTTTTTTTTTTGATGCAAGCTCAGTATACTGTGTTTCCTAGATCTTTAAAACTGTTTGTACAGTAAAATATTCATGTGAAATAGAGATGGAAATAACTGGTGTATTTCATATACACACTGGTATACACATTGTGTGTGTTTTTATATATATCTATTCTATATATGTATAGTGGATTTTAAAAAGCTTATGAGGAGAGTTATCATTATGATGCTGACTGCAGTGTAGGTAGGTGGAAGAAGCCCCTCACGACTAGCTGGGACGGTGGGCACAGGGACAGCTTGCAGTATGCACACTTTCCCCAAAGCTCTCTAGTCTGGTTCTTCCATCCCTAGCCTTGTACTACCTTTGCTATAATTTCATCTGATGGATTTATTTCTGTGCGGAAATGGTGTTAAAATGGGCTTTGTGTGCTCCTTCCCCACATCTAGGGCTGAAAACATGATTCTGAATTACATAATTTACTCTAAAGCCTTTGAAAGTATTATCTGTGTGGTTATAAATGCGGGCTGATGTCAAACAGCAAATTTTAACTTCGTGGTACATCCTAAATGGCAGTCCAGGCTCTACGCTGTAGCCCCAGATGTACTGAATTTTACTCCTATTGGCAGTCCTGTTGAATACATGCTCCTGTACATAGAGTTAACAAAGACTGCGAACATATGTGGTGAAGGGGGTTTGTATTTTGCTTTTAGAAAACTGATTCTTCGTTGACAGTCTTCATGTTGAAATTTCCGGTTGCAGAATGCGGCCCTGAATTTTTTTCTATTTAGTTGCACTTATTAATGAAAGCACAATATATAAAAGCGAAAAGGAAAAAGAGAAGAAAAATGAACAGATTTTGGCATATCTGTACAGTAGCCATTTATCAAAATTTGTCTCATTCAGGGTTTTGCAAGTTTTAATGGTTTATTTTTCTGTTTTTTTAGGACATAACAATTTCTGAGTTGTCTTTTCCTAATGTGGATAAAGTAAAACATGCTGATCTTCCTAAAAGAAAGATTTCCATACCAACTGTGTTTCAGTCTCATGTTCACTACAAACAGATTTTTAAAGCTGCTCTGACAGGTACGTCTAACGCCATGCTATGTAAAATGCTGTCATTTTTAAACAGTGTATTTCTGAAGCTTCACCAAGCAGGATGAGAGGGAGAAAGATCATCAACATCATCTGTTGGAACAACTGTGTGCATTTGGGTTTGGATGTATATATTGAAATATATTCGGTTTATACCCAAAATTGTAAAGACAAACCAAAAGACCAGTACACTTCTGTTCAACTATGTAACCTTGTGCCCATTTACCAGTTTTAGCTTCCTAGCTAAGCTTTGGGGTTTTTTTGGTTGGTTTGTTTTTAACAGTTGTTTAGTGTTTGGATCCGTTGGAGTCATATACTTAAATGTGATTTGAATGAAAGGAAGGCAGTTGGAACAAATTAATTGCATGTGCAATATGTGAATTATGCAGGTCACGTGGTTTCTTTTAGGACTCATTAAATATTTAGATTTGGGATTGAAAGTTTCAAATTAAAATGTATTTGTTTGAATGTTGTGTACTTGTGTAACCATTTTAAGGCTGTACTAATTATTGTTCTATTCTCCTTTCTATGTCAAGAGCAATTAAACATAATGCTATTTGAGTTGTCACAAAGATTACACAATTCTCTTTCAAAAGTGGATATATCATTTTACACTTCATTGAAAGATGGGCAAAGTGCGAGCAAAGAAAGCTGCGTTCCACTCTGCAATCACATGCATCCTGCTAAGCTTGTTATGGTTAAAAAAGAAGGTCAAAACAAGGTGCTGTTTATTACTTGTTTGTTTACAGTGTGGGGTGTTTGTTTGGCATATAGACTATATTGTTCGAACAATTACAGGGCAATTCTGTATGATTTACATTTGCACGTTAAAGTGATGTGTTACAGAGATCACTTTTTAGATCAGTTGTAGTATCCACTAGTGTCCGGAATTGTTGATGAAATAGTTTTCTGCATATAGAAACAGCTTTATGTATGTAGAGAGAAAGACATGAATTTATAATTTTCTAGGTTATATGGGATTTATGTAAGGTATCATTACACACACTGGCTTCAGAAGCTGAGAGCTCTGGGGACCACACTTGTGTTTTTCAGCTGAACACAGTGAAAACACAGGTGTTTATCTGATTGTTTCTATAGCAGGGAGTACTGGTCCACTGCTTTACTTTTTTTTTGCCTGTTTTGTTTTAATGTGCTAATGGTCTGTCTGTTGGTTTGTTTTTTTTTTTTCCCCCTCCCTTCCTAGGGTCGTTTGTTCTATACCTGTGATGCCCCAAAAGCTGAACAGTGTTCATTTTTCAAGTGGATAGAAGATGTGAACCCTGCACAGATAAAATCCAGACCTAGTGTAGTGCTCCGTGATATAAAAAGTATTGGGACATACCTCAGAAGTCAAAAGATTTCTCTCTATGAGGGATGCCAGCTTTTGGTGAGGTATTCTGAAATGATAGGCACTGTTCACAAGTGCTATGTGAATTGCAGAATTTATAAATATTCCAGTAGCTCTGGATTTTGATTTAACAGACACTTTCACTAACTATGTTTAAAGAGGCTACAGTTCTGTGTAGAAATGTAAATGCCAAATTAGTGAAGGAATAATATTCACAGCAATGGCATTTCAGGTCAGCACTCTTTTCAGCAAGAATCAAAACTGCTTACCAGCAACTTGATCAATTGCTTAATGAAATCCCTTATGATTGTTGCATTTGAATTACTGTTCATTTAATCTTTCACAAGAGAATTTGATTTATTCTCTTAGTGATTCCAATTTTAATGTTAGAAGTTGTATTGAAGGCTATTCTGTGCTGCTTAACTGTAGGGGAAACAATTTAATTATGGCTGAATACGAGAGAAATATTTTGCAGTCAAGATAAATGTATTTAAAACTTGGTAATGTAAGGTGATGAACAATCACCAAGACCTGCGTGTATAATTTGGTCGGATCTCTGCAGCTTTCTTATTTTTGGTGGTGAATCTAAAATGTGCCGATTGTTTACATACTTTTTCTCAAAATTACTGTTTAACAGGAAAGCCTTTGAAATTCAACCACAGAGGTGTAGTAAGTTCAAGAAACTTGTGAATACACCTGCCAGATTTGATGGCGATTCCAAAACCAAATTATACCTCAAACTAAGCAGAAAGGACCATTATTCTCTCTATAGCAAAGGTAAGCATCAGAAGAATTGTCTATGTCATTTTGTGCCTTTTTAAAGTTTTAATTTGTAATCTAAAGAGAAAAACCGAATCCTATTTTTAAACTCCTGACAACCCTGATAATTCAATTCTCATTCTAGAAGGGCAATGAAGCATGTCACAAATTCATCTTTTCTTGTAAATGGTCAGCTACCTTAGAAAAATATAAATTCCATGACCTTGGGTTTGGCGTGTATTAAATCTGTGAATCATGAAGTTCCAGGAAAGCCCAGTATTCAAATAGATGATATTAAGGAAAACTCGATGTAAAAAATTGGTGTTTCAGTAGTTGTTGCATTCCTCTTCTAAATTTTTGAAATGTCGCAGAGTTGGAGGACGTTCAGCGATTTGATCCAGATAGTCTCAACAGTTCATTTCACTTCTGTAACTTTTGAATTGATACCCATATCTTTATAGTTTGTTCGCTTTGTTGTTGAAAACGATACAAAGGAAATTAGGCAGGAACAAACGTGTCTGTGCACAGTTTATGTACAGACTGAAATGTTCTAACAAATCAGGCGTTTGTAACTTTAAATTCTGAAGCTCTGCACGGGCAAAACTTCTACTTGTGTCTGACAATTTTTGATCATTTTTGTTACAGGCAAATATATATATGCACCCTTACTGCTCCTAACTTTCAAATCTCCCTTGCTGTGCTCTGCCATGTATGGTATGGGAATAGTGTAGTGAGCTTTAGTCTCATCAGGTGTGCCAGACAGAAGTTTTGCAGCCTCCAGTATGTCTCGGTTTTGAAAGGCAAGGGAAAACATACGTTTATTTCAATACTTGCTATTCTTTGGCAAAACCGTGGTTAACTAGATTTGTAGTATACTTCAGTGATTTGCTCCAAACACTCTCAAAATTGGTAATGCTTCAGATTTGTCAGAAGTCAAATGCCGTTAAATGCACCGGGAGAGAACTTTACAGTTACTACCAATTTCAGACAGTAAGTACTAGAAGAATTGCAATTATTTATTCATTCTTTTAGAACTGAAATAACACTTATTTACCACTTTCTAATACTCCCTACTTTCATGTTAGCAGCAGTTTAATTTGCAGCATAGTAAATGCTGAACTATTTTTGTCCAGCTTCATTTTCTTTAAAAGACAGCAGTAGAAGCAGCTTATGAGAACTCTGTATTTTTTTTTGACAGATGATATTTGGGTTGTTTCGAAGACTCTGAACTTTGATCCCATTGATACTTTCATTGCAAGTAGTGCGTTCTTTGGACCGTCCTCCAACAACGAAATAGAATTACTCCCACTGAAAGGCTACTGTCCCTCAAACTGGCGATCAAATAGTGAGTTTGACACCAAATAATTCAGAATGGTGGGAAACAGCTATTCAGGGAAAACCTGGCCAGCAGTGAAGGATGAGATTAGAATTTCTCAAATCTAATACATGATTTTATTCACAGTATTTTTTTGCTTGTATCTTTGAATATGTAATTTGAATACAGTACTTAATGCAATTAAACCTACAAAGTAGCTAGTAAGAAATTCTAAACAGGGGATGAAGAAATGAGGATAATACAAGTAATGTAGTAAATAAGATAATATAGAATGCAAATTGACTGTCAGAGTGTAGGTAACGGGAATATGTTGTTACTGTCCTTGAAAAACAAACAGACAGAAACACAACTCACTATGGAAAATTTGTATTTATAGAAAAAGCCATGTATTAAATCTGTGACTTGGCTGTCCCACCGTTCCTTTCTGTGCCTTTGTTGCTACAGTCTAGAATAACTAAAAAATTGGTGTTTCAAAATTCAGAAAAAACAAATCTGTCTAGCTTTAGTTATTTTCATCACTGTATTTTAAAAAGAAAATATTACTAAACCTAGCACCTGATGGCTTTTAATGAACTCCTGACCTTTTTATTCTTCAGCAAGCTCTTCCCAACTCAGTTGCACCCTTTTTTGTTTGGGATATTTTTGTAATATTTTGTCATCAGTGTTTTGGAAACAGTA